AACAATATCTTGGCGCTTAAATTACATTTCACGCATGCGCCAATATGAACCACAAGCAACAGCCACAACTGAAATGAAATTTTCTCCAGGGTTCGTGGAAAAAGGAAATTGTTTTAAACTGTACCTTTGGTGTTCCTGGGCCTCCCCCGACATGCAATGGATGCAACGGAGGAATCCGGTATGAGCGTGAGAGATATCAGGATGGCTCCTCGCCATGCCAGAAGATCGGTCGGCTTCTAGTGTGGAGGCTTCGGCATGGCGCGGAATCCCTGAGGGGATGGATCGGTCTGGCGATGCGGAGGTTCATGCACGCCTTAGAATTTCCCCCCCCATTTCACCGGTTCGACGAACGAATGGAGTGGAGGGCCCAGCACTGTCCTATGTGCGTGCAGTTCTAGCATGCTGATATCTCTCCTCGAGGGAGAGGTCTGCGATAAGAGAAGATAAGGACAAGCCTACTGAGCACTGAGTAAGTCAGTAAGATTCGCCAATTTTCATTTTGTACCTTTTTGTCAGAATTTTTTTCATCGCGGACCCACGTCCATTTCCGGTAATCGCTTCTCATTGCATAAATCCCCTTGCTCCATTCTTTTCTCATTCAGTTTATTTCTCTCTCGCTTTCAGCGCGATCGATATTGACTGCGCGTTATTGCTCTGTCTGGGTTTTAATGCATTCTTCATCTCATCTTCCTCGTTATTTTATTTCAATGTTTCTTGTAATCCAACCATTGCATTTATTTATTTTTTCATAAACCAACTTTCCTCGTGATATGTCTCCTGGGTGGAGATGAAACGACTTCTGGGACCGCTACTGTAATTCAGTTGCAAATAATTTTTCCTGATAAATTCGCCCCTAAAATTGGTCAACAATGCCCAAGCAGCATGTTCACGCCTACAAGATATCAATTTCTTGCAATGAATGTAAATTTCTTGCGATTGCCATGAAAATGTCATCACGTTTACGTAAAATTTACGCTTTTATATTAACGTCACCAAAGTGTTCGTCTATCTTACATCAACGTTGTACATCAATGTTTTCCACCAGTTATTGCCTGTAGGTCTCTATCCCTCAAATTCGTAGATGTCTGCTAAAAAAAAAAATTATTGGTGTCCAATATGAAATGTGTAAAATCTTTCCTGAAATATATTTCAACACTTGATACAAATAATTTTTATTCATAAGATGAGTACGTTAATTTCAGATGTTGTGCTATAGAAACCTTAAGGTTTCATCCGTGGTAATGGTACTATTTATTGGTACTTCCACGGATGAACCATTTCCCAATAATTAAAAGGGTAGTATCAGCACTTGTAACGCATGTTGCAAATGCAGATCGGTCGGCTTCTAGGGTGGAATATATATACAGGCCTTGGAGGTAGCGTGCGTCCTTCTTTCGGCCAGGCGCCATTCCGGAGGTTCATACTAAAGGACGCATTTACGATTTTTGCGTGTCTTTGTTTTTTTTTGTGTTTTAAAATATCATGACGGTTCAACGAGGTTTTGGAACGATGTGTCCAATATTAATCCCACAGGATTATTTTAAAAGAATCTTCCACCCGTGGAGTTCTGGCACAGAGTAGAGAGTATAACTAAAAGCGACGCTCCAAGGGGTAGTGGGACGGGTGGTGTCGAAATCTCACAGAGACATCTGGTGGCTCGTTATCAACAACACTTCCATGCGACATGCTTCGCGGCAGCGGAATCGGAATCGGGAGTCGACTCATTCGGGGATTCGACCCAACGGGATCCCTCGACGTGACACGCTCGTCTCGTTGAGTCATCGGTCACGGAGGAGCTGTCGACGCGCGCCTGCCAGGTGGAGTCGTCGACAGCGACCTCTATGTTGCGACCCATCCAACCAATGGGATTCGAGCGGAACGGAGCCTCGAGTTCCAACCTCTCCCGTCTTGAGGTGGATGCCCGATTCAGTGGGCCCTCCTCTCAGGAGACCAGGCATCGGATTCCTATTTTCATAAACATTTCTCCCACGTTTATGGACGAGGGTCGTCGAGAAAAGAATGGAACGGTCTCTATTTCTCGGCCGAAATGCATCGAAAAAAATCGCCATTTACTGAGCTGCAGGATTGAAATGTGTCGCACTTAGCTGTGGAGTTTCAAAATATTCCGACAGATAGCGCAGTTGTAGTGAGTCATCAAGTTGGCGTCTGCCGGTGCGGTGCGTATTAAACGCCGGTCCGTGATTGAGTTTCTCGTTGCAGAAAGGGAGTCGGTGATGAAGAATGAGGCGGTTCCTGCGGCAGAAAGACGCGGCTGCGAGAGAAAGACCAAGACTGGTACCGTGTGGGGAAACGTGCCCTTGTTTCTCGCTGGCGTAAAGGTATAGCAGTAGGAGACTGTGTCGAAGAATAGATTTCGCAGTCAAAACTCCCCGCTACGTTGTAAATATTTCACAAATATCTTTCGATAAAGTTTGATGATAATAAAAATTGTGCTGCCTCATTATCTGGGCGACCCTCGTCTAATAATCAAGGAAAAGTGTCGCTGATGTTGCCATGGACGTTGAGGCCTTCCTTTAACTGGACCCAAAGTCTCTGCGACTAATTAATACTGTCCTCCGATTAATTTTCTCATTCGTAGCCCAGAGTCAATACATACATCGAACGTCATTTTTATTCCTCGCTGAACACTTACACTTCGATTGCACGATTCTCTTCCATTTACTCGCTCGGCGGCTCGCCAGAGACATCTACCGGCCGACGATATACTCTCTGGTCTTCCCGCCTTACCCTCAGAACTCCGTTCTGTCACTTCGAAGTCGATGCGCATCATATCGGTATGAAACAACGAGGTAACAAGGTTCAAGGTTCAAGGTAGTTATTGACATCAAGAGGCGATTTCGCCCATTTCGATATCACGTGTCGAGGTCGAGCGTTCCTTAATTTTAGGGTAGGCCTAACCCTCTTAAAGCTAAATATTTTTGTATTTTTTTATTTTTTTTTTATTTACTATCCTAGTTGCTTACTGTGTAGTACCTAACGTCAGCATTGTCCCCCACCTTTTTGCCTGTCCATGAAAGCATCTAGTTTCTTCTTAAAGATAGTCAAAGAAGGGGCAGCCACTACTTCGTCATCGAACGCATTCCACGCGTTCACCACTCTGCAAGTAAAAAATTCCTGTCTCGACCCGAGCCGCACCTGCGGTTCAAGCAACTTTAGTTGGCTATCTCTCGTTCTCTTGCTGCCATCAAACTGGAAAAAACCTACCACACTCGACATCATCTATTCCTTTAGTTATCTTGAAAGCCTGGATGAGATCGCCCCTCCTTAACCTCCCTTTCGAGCGAGTACAGTCCCGACACTTCTAAACGTTTCTCGTATGATAGTCCCCTAACCTCCTTGATCATTCTTGTGGCCCTCCTCTGTACTCCCTCGAGCGCCAACAAATCGCCCTTATTTGTAGGCCTCCAAAACTGGATGCAATATTCCAACTGGGGTCTCATCAGCGCCGCATACAATGGAAGAATAACGCGAGATGTCCTACTTGCAACCGACCGACGAATGTAACCAAGAATCTTGTTGCATTTGGCCACCGTCGCTTGCGCGTGCGAGGAAAACTTGAGGAATCTCTCTCTCCGTTTGCGAAAATTTTATTTCTTCTGAAGTGCAGACTCAGGGAACTCCTTGTCACCCTGTTTCAGCCTTGTACGTTTTCTCTTTTTGCTGGCGGGAAAAATATATATTTGGCAAAACGACCCACCTAAAGCCTGTGCTCTGAGGAGACGCACAACAAAAGTTGAATTTTTCCTTAAATCAACATCATGTCCGTTATGCGTGCGCCAGCTGCTACTTTTCTATTTCTACCCGATTCGCTAGAATATGATAAATTCTGTGAAAACGTAACGTCTTGAACAAATATGCCCCCTAAAAATATTTTGGAAATTTGTCATTTTGACACCGTCGCTTGCGCGTGCGAGGAAAACTTGAGGTCCTCATCGATAGAAACTCCTAAATCTCTCTCTCCGTTTGCCTCATCCAATTTAACATCGCCGAACGTGTCGAGAGACCTACCGTTGTTTCGATCGACGTGGAGAACTTTACACTTACTTTTATTAAACCGCATGAGCCATTTCTTGCTCCACTCGTCCAAAAGACTTATATCTCGCTCGGCTCGAGCCCTATCCGCCTCCCCCCTTATGGTGAAACCTATCTTTGTATCGTCGGCAAATTTACTCATCTTACCCTCTACGCCGAGATCCAAATCGTTCATGTAAACCAAAAAACAGAAGCGGTCCAAGGACCAATCCTTGAGGGACACCGCTTGCTCGTCCGACCTCCTTCGACGCTTCCCCATTTATCATCACCCGTTGCTCTCGTCCTGCCAACCAACTACTGATCCACTCGCTCGTCCTACCCTGGATCCCGTGCGCCTCCAGTTTAACCCGCAACCTCTTGTGAGGAACGGTATCGACAGCTTTCGCGAAATCTAAATAGACAATGTCCACCAGTAACAATCAGAAGGCAATCGGTCCCAGTCTGTCAGTCGATATGTCGATCGGTCGAGCGTTCACTCGGGCGACTGTCGCATCGATTTCCCCAAAAGTCAAGAAGGGGAGCCTCCTTAATAATTAATTATTGTATTCTTCATTCATACGTTCATTCATTCTTGATTGCCGTCTTTTGAAAGTGTGCTGGGACCTATTGATTCTCGTTGACCGATGGATTTGTACGCATCCATAAGTGCCATTAATTACCATTTAATGTGTGATAAAACCAAATGCCCTGGATAATTTACCATTTATAACCATCTTGTGGTAAAGGAAGGAGTGAATGATTAAGTACAGCCGGTTCCTCTGCGTTGGAAGAGACTTCAAGTTTGTGTAAAGACGTCATTTAAGCTGAAAGGATCGGAGTTTTTCGAGTAATATTAATCCCAAAGTTATCTCGAAAGTTTTCCACTTTTTCTCTTGTCACATTTCCTTCATGTATTAATATCTGCCCCTCTGCAGGGACATGGCCGCCTCCATCGATCAACATGGCCGCCCCCATCGATCAACATGGCCGCCCCCATAGAGTCGTCCCTGCTGCGTCTCCCAGCATCCTCGTGAAGGAGTCAGCCGCTTCTTCGCGGTGAGGCCGAGATGTCGGACGACACCCTCGCCTCGGCGGGGCTGTACACGGACGAGCTGAACAAGATCAGGGTCCTGGAGCCAACGGCCGCTCAGCAGACCACAGAACTCAAAGAAGAATGCAAGGAATTCATGGACAGTGAGTTTCGCTTTGTCTTCCAACGCTGGCTGCGAAGAAATTGTCTCATGTTTCGTCCGTCGTTTAACCTCATTGAGTAGATGTAGGCCTAGGTTGATTTCGAAATGTTGGGCCTAGTCATCTGGGCTTGCTACATGCCCAGCTTTAAATGTTCTGACTCGATCCAATTGAGCTGGATTTCCTGTCCATTGCAACTGCTTTCTGTTGCCACCACAGTAAGGGGTAATGCTATCAATTGAAAGTTGCTGTGCCTTGTTGAGGCATTAATTATGCGTTGTACGTCTTGGAAGTTATGGTTGGCCTATAACAGGGTCCTTTGTGTTGGATAAACCTTTAGATATGTGATCCTTTGGCCTATGCTTAAAGACTTGAAGAGAACAGTGTGCATAATCTAAGGCCTATGCATGATAGAGTCATAAGCGATTGACCCGAAAACCTGGATGGAAAAGAATTGAGGTGGTCTACTTGCATTGTTTATGTTTGCTTGCATTCTAGTATGAATGGCTGAGAATTGGGAACTTACACAAGAGGGAATGAAAATAGTTTGCTGGGAAAGTTAGTTCAAGTTTGCCTTGAAACCTTCTTGGGATCACATGCTGAGGTCGCATGAGGCACGAGTTCTAATTAAACTCAAAGCAATTGGACATCCATTTCAAGTTGCCTGTGACGCAATCCCGTACTTTCCGTCGGACGGTCGCACCCATCGGCATGCCGTTCTCGTTGCATTTTTGTCCCGAATCCCCCCAGACATCGTGGAGTTCCGGACCATCGCAGACAAGCTGATCTCCACGGTCGACGGCCTGCAGGCACAAGTCGAGCAGCAGAAGATGAAGGCCATCGGTGCCCGCAACCTCCTCCAGTCCGTCACCAAGCAGAGGGAAGCCCAGCAGCAGCAGCTCCAAGTCGGTTCCTCTCATTGCTCTTGCACGTTCGCATTCCCCTCTCGGTGGTCTCGATCGTGTGGCTCCAGAGGGGCTCTTTTCTTACGGAAGTCGAGTTTGTCGATGGGAATAATTATGTTTTGTTGGGTCTATGTTCTGTTTATCTTCCTGGGTGATTTCCTGGCAATTGAAATGTTCATTTAATGTCATGTACTATCTGGGTAATTTTTCAAATCAGATTGAGGATCAATCATGAAGTTTGCAGTATGTGTAAGCAGAAATATGTGGCAGGATGTGGAAACCTCCCCTTGAAGCAAAGTAAATTCTGTTTTTGTTATGTATACTAAGACATAAATATCTTATTTGTTTCAGAACTTGAAACAGGCTTGGAAATCAGTGCTTAGGACCTGAGTATTAAATAGCTGAAACTACATCATACCAAAAAAAAAGGATTTAATAATTTTTAATGAGATAATGCAATGAGTAAAAGAGGCTAGAATGGAGGGCATGTGCACCTTATCTGAGCCAGACGCCAGGTCAATGTACTGTATGCCCCCCCCCCCCCCCATGAAGCTTGTGCATGGTTTTTTTTAGGTATGGGCTTGACCAGCCAGCTCATGAGGAATTGCTGAACCCCCCCAAAAATAACTTCATCACTGATTCTGGATGTTTCACTAGCTTAGAGATGTGGTTCCTTTTCTGATCCCCTTCCACCCTGAAATATCCCAGTGTTCTGTTCCTGCAGCACTGCTTCATGGTGTAAGATGTCAGGTGGTTATTTTTTTTAGCCAACCATCAGCGAAAGTGTGGATTATTAAACCATTAGCGTCACCTGTGTATACGAAAAATTGGCCATGCCCAGCTTTGACAGGTTTTTATATAGATTACCAGTATATATAAAATGTAAGGATGGCATTCATTTCATTTTAGATTTGGTCCAAAGGAATTTCTAGTTTCTTGTTCTTTGCCCCTTTATCAAAAGGGCAAGAAGTGGAGATTTGCTTGTGAGAACCTTTTCCTGCCTGTAAGTTCCTTCACCCTGCATGCATTCAGAGTCAGATTCACATTGTCAAGTTTGGAATCCATGTAAGGGGAATGAGTATGTGTATAAGAGCAGATGAAAAGGCTGTCCTCAAGGAGCATTGCGTCCATCATCGAGAAGAAATGCCATTTTGTTACTGTTGGCTTGGTCATGAATGTGTTCTTCAGCATCATTTTAGGAAGTATATTCTTTCATACCACCCTCATCAATCCTAAATTCCTTCATAGGTTCCATTACAATAAAAAATTCATGTTATGTACCCCAGGTGAAATGGAGTGGTTGGTTAAGGAGAACTCTATCATTTAATTTTTCCTTCTGTAAATAACTGCACAGCTTGGTTTGTGGAAGTGGACTTATGATTGCAATTTAGCTTTAAAAAAATTTTTTTCTTTGATTATGGCAACCAAAAAAAATTTTTGAGGCCATTTAAGCTCTCCTCTCTTGGATGATTTGTTGCTTCATTATTTATCAATAAATTGATAGGATTATTCTGTGGTCTCATCTCTTTGATTGCTTTTATGTGCAGGCTCTAATAACAGAAAAGAAGCTGGAACTGGAGCGGCTGCGTCTACAGTACGACTCCCTCCTGCAGACGGAAGCCGAGCAGAATGAATTCATTGAGCAGCTTCTCATGCAGAAATAGGAAAAGATGTTCAGCCGTTGCACTTTCCGTCCGCTTTCTAGTCACGTGATCTCATGCCCTTTATTGGGTAATTGTTATCTGCACATTGTAATGTCAATGGCATCTATTTGAGTTGCAATTTGAATAATATTGTGTAAGACATGATCCTGCTCTTCTTCATTTATTTCGGAAGTTTCTCGGAAGTCCTAATTCAAAAGCCCTGCATGTGAAAATCAGACTCTGCTCTTGCCTTCGTTTGAATTTGAATTGCTGATTGTAAAACCATTGGAAAATTCTTGTGGGGTCCAACCTGTGAAAGAAGTGTGGTTTTTTTTTTCCCCTGAGAAAATGTGTCAAGTTCCTTCAAGGCTGCTTCTAAGTGTATGTCATAATGAACTGTGAAGAGTATAGTGCCTTGCAATGTTGGTCCACTCAAAAACTTGTCATTTCTCTTTCCAAATGCCATGGAAATCTTATGCAGCTGAAAAAGGATTGTTATCATACACATAGACTCTGAAAAGTTTATGTAACTCAAAACAATGAAAATGCATGTGATGCAAGCTGGCTTGTGAGGAAGTTTTTGCTCTGATCGATTCATTGCAACAGCTTATGAAATGTTATTTTGGATGAGATGGAGGCTTTTGTGACGAGTGAACTTAATAGGCAGTACATTGAACTTTTTAGGAAAAAACCTTGTAGTTTTAAAAATCCATGTATGTGTTGCTCCTGAGAGGACATACAGTATATGGATTTTCAGTTGTTGAGGCGACATCTTCGTGTCGAAAGTCCCGTCCGATCGGTCACGTGCCTGACGATGATTAAAGTTGTAATGTCTCGATTGGCTGGCCTCCTCTGGAGGACCCAGAAGGCATGACGACACGGTGTGTTTCCGTCTGGTTCCTGCTGCCTTCGTTCTCGGCAACATCTGCCGGAGAGCTTCGACCCGAACCGGCACGGTCCGACGACGACGGCCGAAGGAAGGGCAGCCCTCTTGAGGATGTCACGAAGGAGTCCCTCCCAGCTCTTCTGTGCGATCCTCAGGGAGTCTTGCACCCAACTTTACCCAAAAGAATGACTTCCACGCCAGTCTGCCCACTAGCCGTGGAAAAGTGAGAGGAAATGTGAATCCAGAAAAAGGAAAACGTATAGATGAACATGCAATATGTCGTGAAGGACTTGGCCACCTTGGCCCAGTGTTTACTCAAATGTTCCAGTGTGTTAAATGCATCCACTGTGAGCATTGCTGACGCTTATCTTCCAGAATCAGAATCATCAGGTGTTTGTCTCTCTTCTTCACTGATCATGTATGAAGGGTTTTCCAAAAGTGTTGCAATTGATACACTCTACATTACCCAGCGACTGTTCTTAATCCTGTAACTTCTAAGTTCTTGAAGGTTGTAAACCAAATTGCAAAAAGAGTTTTGCCACCCACAGAAACGTTAGAAAAAAAATTTACTTGACCGGTTCGCTGCCTGCTGGATTAGTGATGGCTCGAGCTCCAGTTCTGGGAAGAAAAGATCTGTCAGTAATTGTTACAATGGTCCAGATAGGGTAGGACCTGAAACTTGGTACATCGGTAAATATTGGGATGCTGAGTTCAGAAAAATGCCGCATTTCTTATTTTAAAATAATTTTTTTTTTTTTTTACGATTCAGCTTTCCGTGAGGCATTCCCTCTGACCACATATTTTGGTCGGGACAGCTTCCAAAATATATTTTTTCTCCAGCAAAAAGGGAGAACCTATGTGGCTAAAACTGGGTAAGCACGTGGTCATTCCATTTCCTGATTTAAATATAAATATAATTTTTAAGTGGGGAGGGATGGCCGGAGCGAATTCCACGACGGTCGCCGGGACGCCAAATGCAAACGAGCTGCAGTTGATCGGCTTCTTCTTGCTTCTGTCTTGCGAATCCATCCTCAGGTAACTGTTTCGGAAGAAACCATGAAGCAAATCGCGGATTCGCCGAGACGGCACGCAAGCAAGACAGGTGACGAAGGTTGCTTGTCTTTGGTTGTGACTCACTTGACGTTCCGCCAGATGTCGTAACTCATGGGGTTGAGCCAGGCGAACGCGGATATGAAGCCGTAGTGATAGCCCAGCACTAAAAGTCAGAAAAAAATCGTTGCGTGAAGGAAAAATGCTAATCGATGAATGAAAATTTTTGTACCTGAAGCGGCGCAGAAGGCGTTAGAGACGCCACGGGCGAGGCAAAGTTGGACGACAGACAAGGAAAGGTATGAGAAGAGGAGACAGGCCAGATAAAAAAGACGAGTCCCCCCAGAAAACCTTTTCCGTTTCAGGAAATGGCAACTAAGACGAAAAGTGACGAACAAGAGTAAGGCGGACACAAGCATTAGCCCGATCTTGGTGGGGAACGGAGGAAGCAGTTTCAGGAAAACCATTCGGGACTGAGAGCAGATGAGACCCATGGGCTCCTAGCTCGAAATGCAATTCCCGCATGCATCGATGCAATAGCGGGGACGACCTCGTCACCGAGTGTGTGCCTCCCTGTCCGGATCGACCCGCCGCTCCGAGTCGGAGAGAAACCACGGTCCAATATCGGCGTCAACGGGATGACAAAAACGGATGTGCGTGGACAAATGGGAAAGCTCTCGTTCGGCGTGAGAACAGAGAAGGAAAGCCTCCACAAACGAACCGTTGCTTGCGAGGAACCGATCGCGGCGAAGAGGAGCGGCCGAGCGGACGTCGAGTGGACCGGACGGGACCAGTTCCAGCCTGCAGCTCGGCGATCGGGGAGGCCCGACCGACACCTTCGAACGCGTCCTCCGCCTCGTCCGACGGGAGGCGAACTGCCCCGGGAGGAGAGGGAAAGCCCTCGGACAATGCCTCTAATGCATTCCGATGCATTAGAGCCCCGAATTCTGCCCTAATTCGCTTCGCCGACCCGGCTATTTCGGCGCTCCTCTGGGAGCAAAACGCAGGCGGCTCTCTCTTTTTCATCAATATTGGTATTGGTATTGTATACCAGGGATCCAAATTCGAAATCGGTCGATTTCCACCTCGTCAGCTTTCGAAAGACGCGATGCAATTTTTTATCATCATTAATTTGTCAAAAAGTTGCACATTTTCCAAGGAGGGTAGTTCCATTTCAAATCAGGCAGGGTCACGGTTTTTGCGTCAGGTCATAGTCTTGGATTTTTTTCAACAAAAAAAATATATGCGATCCCCCCTTTCAAACGATGGAAAATGGTATCTTATTTTCCTCGATATCTGCAATAGTTTCGGAGAAAAAAATTCGCAAGTGCAGGGCTCTAAAAAGGGCGACTTGTGAAATTCCTATTTTCTCCCACATTCAATTTGCTGTATCTCCTAAATAGGCATAGAATCCTGAAAATTTTTTCTCGCACACTTGAATGTACGTCTTGTGGAAGCATTTGAGAAAAATTTAAGTTGTAATTTCATAAATACGTGATTTTAAATTTTAAAAAGTGACGAAACTGCTGAATTTGCTGGTTTTTGCTGAATTTTTTTGCCAGCTAAATTTGTGTCCCATCTTGAATCAAGTATATTTTCAGGAACTATATGCATTTGTGCATCTCTTATTGTCATTTGGCATTAATATCATTAATGCTTAATTTAATATTAAATTATAATTTCACAAATACGTAATTTTAAATTTTAAAAAGTGACGAAACTGCTGAATTTGCTGGTTTTTGCTGAATTTTTTTTGCCAGCTAAATTTGTGTCCCATCTTGAATCAAGTATATTTTCATGAACTATATGCATTTGTGCATCTCTTATTGTCATTTGGCATTAATATCATTAATGCTTAATTTAATATTAATTTGCAACTTTTGTCAATTTCCGAAAAATGGGTGAAAAATAAAAATTTTTTCTCAAAAAACCCATCTTTGATTTTTTTCATTCCTTCCTTGTTGATACTAGAAGGGACCAGTTACAGCATGGTATAAAAATTTCCTCCTCGATTTGCCTCATTCCCAAGTCATGGATCTTTAAACATGCACATTTCCCGACGACGTTGAGGGAAACAACGGTCACGCAATCATGATTGATTTTTAGCCGTATGTGTCCAGCACGTGGCCAGCCGTATGCGGCGATTTATGAATTCGACAATATCATGTTCACATCTACCCTGATGCAATGGTCAAATTGCGTAGCATGTGAAAATGCTCCACCGTGGTTTTTACCTAATATGTTGTACTAGCGAGTTTGTTTGCCCTTCGGGCAAACAAACTCGCTATGGACGCGCCTCTGCGATCTAAGGCATCCGTTTATGAGGCTCACCCTTACTAAAGCGGTCAAACTCCTTTGTTCATGGGTTCAATTCTCGCTCCTTTAAATTAAGGGTGTCAAAGAACATATTCTTAATGACGCCATGTCATTTGTAGCATAATGATCACCAATTATCAATTGTAAGTGCGTCGTTTAGTGTTCCATTGGTGTATTCAATTCCTGTCTATTGCCGAGGCATTCTTGATATAATATCAATCTCCAAAAAAGAAGGAGAAATAGCGGCCATATAACCACATAAGCCACTTGAGAGTTTTAACGCTAAGATGGCTAATATTAAAGATCAACGTAGGCCTGAGCAATCGTCAAAGGGTTGGATATAAGCTTGCTGAATCATTCCCATTAGGGCAAGTACCGCCAATGTCGAACTGTATCTGTAGTATGCAAGCCAACATCTATTTATTTTCCATCCCATTTCCTTTGAGGTGTGTGCATGAGAGAAGTATTGGCCTAAGCGTCCATCCATGGGGTAGGCCTAGGCCTGCGAAATTTGTCCCCAGGGCATGTACACCCCTCCCACCCTCCGAAGTCTGAATTCCTCTAGAGTGAACAACATAGCAATAACACACACTCCCTTCAATGAGTGAGGAGGAAGCAACGTGTTCATGACGTATGCCTACATCTCCATCTTAGGGTTAGGAAGCAGACGCATGAGCTCATTACTTCTGAGTTTTAAGACGATAATTCCATTTCGACTGTAGGGAACTTCATCGTTAATTTTATATTCTGGCGAAAGGACTCATTCGCTCTGCGCGATTTCATGAGTGAGTGAGAGTCTTGTGGAAAGGAAAAGCGGTTTCTAGGAGAATGCAGTTTTTTTTTTAAATAATAATAAGTGTTTTTCGAAAAACGGAACGACGAATCGCTCATCGTTCGAAAGCTTGCCTTTTTAAGGACACCTCAAGGGCATTCAGAAATACCAAGATGACCGTAAAATTAAAACTTCCGATTTTCAGTTAATCTTTTTTTTTTAAATGTATATGTCGAACCAAAGGTAAAACATATATAAAAGAGAATAACTTGCTTCGTCACTGCGCCTGAAATCGCCTATTTCCGGCATTTCCAAAAGAAACCATGGCGCTGGAATCTCATTGAAGCTTCAAGGTTGCGCGAGCGGAATTTTTCTCCCGGTGAAATGCTTCGGGTCAAGATTTTGAGATTTTGGTCGTCTGTGATTTTTTTTAGGGATGGTTCCGTAAATGTGGAACTGAAAAATGGGATTATTCATTTATTAATTATTATTCATTATTATCATTCATTATTATCATTCATTATTATTATTATTATTCATGTTTTTCCTTTTACCGTGTTGTTAGATTGGTTTCGCTCGCGCGACCGCATAAGGCTTGTCGTTGGCTCCCTCGAAAGAGGCGTTGCTTCGTACAGGGTGTCGCAAAAGTGATTGTGCGGTTGAGTCCTGTCTAGAGGGATTCATGAAAAAAAACCCACACTCATCGCTGGTGGTTATATGCGAAAAAAATCAGCCGCAGAACAGATGACGGAAGGCCATCTTGAACTGAAATTCAAAAACGGTTCAGCAGGAAATCCGTAGCGATTGCTGAAAAATGCGAAACAGCTATTTCGTTTCAGTACACCGTTCCTTTCGAAACACCCTGTTTACTGAAAGGAGGAAGAATGCAACTCCAAAAGATTCTACACCTGTAGGTGGGAAATTCTCAAGTCAGTCATCATCATGAAACCGGCCGAATCGAGTCGGGTCGGGCTTTCCATCGAATCGGAAGATCCCTCGTCCCTCGAGGGAAGGTCGTTTGAGGGAAGGTCGTTTGAGGGAAGGTCGTTTGAGGGAAGGTCGTTCGGTGAAGGGGGAAGACCGGAAATTCTGCAGAGAAAGGAAGCAACAAAAAGAAACACGATAAAGGATGAGTCGAAAATGGAGAATGGAGTGACTGGCCGTCCGGCCCTATCTCGGGCTCCATTTTCAGGAGGAACGCTGGCATGGCTTGAAGGGTGATGAACGTGCCTGAAGCGTGGTGAACGTGTCTGAAGCGCGGTGGACGTGACTTATCAGCGTGCATCTCGATTGTGTAAAGCTCGCCTGTTTCTCTCTTCGTATTTTCCTCCGATTTCTTCGAAGTATTAGGAGATAGGAATGGATGTCACCTCCGCGCTAAGTGGTTAATGGAAAATGGGGAACGACCGTGTGTCTCTCCGCGCTAGTGGTCTCATTTCGCCATTTTCCCTCGGGCCAGGTCGAGCTGGCTCGAAGAACCCAAGATAGACCTTGCAGGCCTAATCGCCATCATTGAGTCGCGTAACGAGGGTGAGTAGGGTATCGAGGGAGCGAAATGCAGCGATGGGGAGCAATCTTCCATTACAGATAATCCATTCCGTGTTATCATCCATTACGCATCATCCAATACGACACGAGCCTTTTTTATGGAGAATCTTAGGGCAAATAAATCCCATGAAATATTGGTGGTTTCCCTTCCACCACGTCGGGCAGAAACCCAAACGAATGCACCGAGACCAGTCGGTGCATTACCTCTACGCAACGTCCCATGCATTCAACAGAAGGCATTCGGAGCAGGGCGGGCGGACTCCGAGCGACATCCTTTCATCGTTATCGAAGCGAGCCGGAGGAAGTCGTGGACGGTGGCGAATTCCGTCCGAATCTTCTACGGGGGGACGATCAGCGCTTCGAGGGAAGATCATTCGGGGCTGGCCATACCCGCCCAGCTCCGAATGATCTTGCCTGGCCGTAACTATGAGCGAGATGGACGTGAGGAACGGGACGAAGAGGGACAGATGAGGATCTCAAACGTTATCGTTAAGAAAAAATTTAATGAAACCATTGAAAATAATTATTATTTAATAATATCGTATCATGTCTTAAATTATCATGGAAAATATAGTATCATACAATTTCACATAATCGAATATAAATTTTTGGTATTAGATATCAAGTTATCGACGTTTTGAACTAGATATCGAATTGAAACATATTCCATGCAATAGACTTACTTACTGCATTTGACTTGCAAAACTCACTCCAGGAGGTAATGCAATTTTTTTTAGCCATCTCGTCTGAAGAAAGAGAATTCCATTTTGCTCCCAGAGGAGTGTGCAAATCTCCAGTGTCGACGAGATGAATTAGAGCCGAATGTATTGGAATACGTTAGAGGCGCTGTCCATGGGCTTTCGGTCTTCCCGGGCAGTGTGCGCCTGTCGCTTCCGCCCGGATCGGAGGTGCCAGTGTCTTCGTTGGATCATCGCGGGTGAGGTCGTGGATGCCGGTGGGAGATGCTGATGGTGCTATGCGGCGTCTGTGTCCTCTCGCTGGCAGCGGGGTCTTCGCGGGTCGAACGAGAGGTGAAGGAGGAGAGACGGGTCCTCGTGCAGAAATGTTGTCCTTTGGACGAAGGCAGTGAACTGTTTCTGAGAAAGTGCAACGCCTGTCCCTTCGAGTGGAACCTCCCGGTTTTCAATCAAAATATGAGCGAGATTCACAATTTGTCAAGAGTATACCGGCGCCGAATCGATGACATGGCTTCGATTCCTTGTGGCGATGACGGCCTGCCTCCAAATGCGAACGACGATCCTTGGGAGGAATACTACATGGTCCAAGACACAGGCTATCTCTACGTCCCGAATGTGAATTCCACTATTTCAAATGAACTTTCCTGTTCTGAGCATTTTCACTGGGAAAGATCCTGGATAAATGTGACAAGGGTTTGTCATCCGACGGAGATGATCCCAGACTGCACTGGGAAGGTTTGCGTCCAGAAGTGCTGCCACGAGACGGAAATGTTGCACGAGTCTGAGGGTTGGTATCAATGCGGGCCTGGTGAAAGAAAATGGGATTTCAGGGAACTTCTCCGCACATATCTCCATTCTGATGACAGCGTCCACGTTTCCACAGGTTTTCCCATTTGTCCGCGTCTCTCTGCTTTCCTCATCCCATTGATGTCAGTATTGGGCCGTAGTTTCTTTCTAACCCGGAGCGGAGGATTGATCCAGACTGGAAGGCACACATTCGGTGACGAGGTCGTCCGCATGCCCAGTTATTGCATCGATGCATGCAGGAACTGCACTTCTTCTCTGGAGCCCATAGCCCTAATCTGCCCTCCGATTCGGATGGTTTCCCTGGACCTTCCTCCATTCCCAACCAAGATCATGCTAATGCTAGTGTCTGCCTTGGTCTTGTTCGTTACTTTTCTCCTAAGTTGCCATTCCCTGAAACGGAAAAAGCTTTCTGGAGGGACTCGTCTTTTCTACCTCACCTGTCTCCTGCTTTCTTACATTTTCTTATGTGCCGCGGAAATTTGCCTCTCCTTTGGCGTGTGCAATGCCTTCTGCCCTGCATCTGGTATCTATATTTTCCATCATCGATTCATATAATCGATTCATTCACATGTTCTTCAATAATATTCTCTCCTTTGAAACTTGCAGTGCTGGCTTACCACTACGGGTTCATGTGCGTATTCGCCTGGCTCAGTGCCATGAGCTATGATATCTGGCGGAACGTGAAGTGAGTGACAAGTGAAGACAGGGGATGGGTTGGTCTTGGTAACTTGTATTCTCGGCGAGGCGTCAGTCATGATTCACTCCATTTTCTCTTTCGAAACAGTTACCTGAGGATGGATTCGCAAGACAGAAGCAAAAAGAAGCTGATTTACTACAGCTTGTTTGCATTCGGGGTCCCGGCGTGCATTTTCGCTATGGCCTACGTAGTGGAAGTCGCTCCGGGCATCCCACCTCTCTCCATGAGGCTGGGGTTAAAGTCTCTCACGACAAATGAATATTGCAGGTTCCCTGGTAAGAGTCCAGTTCATTCATCGATAAAATCGATGAAAGTAAAATGATTCTGTGGATTTAGTAGACTTATTCCTTTCTGTAGGTGTTTAGGTTTCGCATGTGATTTCAAAAAGTGGTTGAATGAGTTTCATTTGCTTACGTCCTTGTAGATCCTGTTGGCGTGAAGCTTTTTTTGGACTTGCCGTTCGTCTTGCTGCTGGTGGCTGATGCAATTTTCTTCGTGCGCACGAGTCGTTTCTTCGCTCGCCATTCCAAGGACACTGCTGATCTTCGTCGAAACCAGAAGCATGAACGGAAGTGAGTTCCATCATTTGGATCAGGTGGTTGTGGGATTCAATCGAGAGATTTTCCGTGGAAGGTTGCCTTCTGGTGTGCAAGACCGAGTCTGAAAATACCTAGGATCCGTCATAGATATACAATGCCGCATAGAAGATGTTCTGACCAGAAACATATTCGTCGCGACGGCACTTTTTGGAAGTTCTTTGAAAAATGTGCACTCCTACTGAAGCCACCCTAATGAAAAGAGAAAGAGATGAATTTTTACAAATATATTACTGATATCTCTACAAGTTTTGTTGTACTTAATGATTTCTCCGAGTAGGTTTTGGATGTACGCAAAGTTGTTCGTGCTGATGGGCGGGAACTGGGTCATCATGGTCATAATCGATTCGGTCAGGCGAGCGAAGCTGGATCTCTCCGAAAACGCGAAATTCGCGTTGATGTGCCTCCATCACACTCTGCTGAACCTGCAGACCGTCTTCGTCTTCTTCATCTTCGCGTGCAGCGGAGACGCCGCGCGACGAAGGATGAAGAATGCGTGGGCGTGGCTACGCGGGTGTCCCCGCGTGGGAGGGACTCCCGGGTCGTCCACAGCATCCTCCAACGTGGAGAAGCAGTTGGGGAACGTCGAAGCGGACCCCAGGGTGTCATAGGCGATGACTTGAGGGACTCAATGGTGAATGCCGTTGTCTGCCTCGGTCATCATTACTGTTCCGCTCAGTTGCTATTCCAAGAAAAGAAAAAGAGTTTTTGGTGCGACTCTTGTTTTCTACCTCGCCTGCTCCCTTACTTTCCAGGGCACTTGCGGGAATTTTCCCCACTTATGGCGTCACTAACGCGTTCTGTCCCACCGCTGACATCAATCTTTTCGACTTCGCAAAGAGGGATTTGCCTCTATTAAAGGCACGGATTATTCTATATCGCCTTCGGCTTTTTACTTCTAAATTGCGCTTTTTATTTTTCATATGTAACCCACTCGGAGTTTCTCCATGATATATTATCGGTTCTCCTTAATAAAAATACGTACGTTGGTGTATGTGAACCAAATGTCATTCATGATGCGGACCACGATATATAAATTACTCTGCTCTCGGATATAATTTGTGATCGCCGAATGAGAAAGGTCATGATACATTTGCGATTCATCGGACGTCAAGGGCTCTAGAGAATTAATACAGATGCATGTTATTCCAATTTCGATTTTTTTTTCTCCCCAGAATTGATTCCAGAGTCATTTGAGTGTGTAACAGAATCAAGTAAAAAATATTATTTCGTGATTGGTGTTCCGGAAGACGGAACGAGATGTAAACGTTTCCGAAGACTTTCACTGCCGTGGCCGTGGGAACCGCATCAACACGCGCGAACCTCTCCCAGCGGAGAGACGGGCAGTCCATCGACTCGAAGGTCTCGCTTTGCCGCGCGGTCGAAATGATCGCGTTGAGTTCTGAGGAACCCGTCTAGCGATATTTCACACGCCTATGCTCAGTGACTTGAATAATGAGCGAAATCTTGGAATGTGCCATTTCGGGTAAATAAAAAAAAATGTATTTTTGCAAAGACGCAACAAATCATTAATCGTTGGAAAGAGCTCAAGCTCATATTTCGAATGGCACTAGCAATGACACTGACACCTTCGAGCACCAGCAGCTGATACATCTGGCCATGCTGCTGTTCGAGAGCGATTTTCCAAGTGAATTTCACGTCCCTACGTCTTCTTCTGTAGCCTTTCGCGGGGCGAACCAAAACGATTCATGTTGTCGTGGTACGCGCTGAGATTGAGGACTCAGTCGCTTCTATTTCGTGTGCCTTTGGAGGGACCTCGCTGGCGGAAAAAGACACATCTTGGCCATCTCGTCGACTCTGCCTCAACAATATTCCGTCACGAGTTCATGGCTATTTCTTTCTTTTTTTTTCCCTGTCTCTTGAAATGTCAGAAGAGTTTCCAAGATTCTCATTTTCCGCATCCGATCCTAAACCCTGAGGTAGTGGGAAGGTCTCTACGAGTATCGTATCACATCATGCACAAGGATTTCATATGGTATGAGGAAACTAAACCACTCTAACCGTCTCTAATTCCGTACGCTCTTAAATTCCCGTACTTAACTTCAGCAGTAGAGGAACGGCCCGAGAAGCGGCAGGCCTCAGCTGACAAGAGTTCTGCGAGGTACTTGTCTGTCTGTCTGTCGGGCGTGCAGGTTTCGGTGGATGAAAATTAGTTGTAAGAAGGAAACTGGAAGTCGTCCAACTTATCACAGCTTAGTTGATTTTGTGTTAGTTTGGAGGAAACGTTCAATTTCCATTTCGGAATATAACCAGTTTTCATGAGTTATTTTCATAATGTGTAGATGAGTTTAGAGTGCCCTTGGACGTCTTTCAGGGTGAAGGAGCACATCCTCGAGGCGCAAGCATGGGCTCAGATGACTTAAATCTTCAAAATGGACCTATTTTGGGAAGTCTGAAGAAGTGTCTCCCTCCCGAGTTTCCGTCGGAATCATTACAATTAAAAGCAGAAACCCGGCGTCCGCCACGCTTCGCCGTGGAAGACAGCGGCAGACGAAAATGTCTTTTTCCTCAGGGACCGCCAGTTTCGCCGCCTGCACTGGGCGTACGACCGCCGATACGCGATTTCCAGAGGGGCGTCCTGTCCTCTTCTATCACCGGTCCTTATTATGGGTCCCGGTCCTTATTGTACACTTGAATCCATGGTGCGGCAGGCATGCTGAATTCAGAAATGAATTCAGCATACCTGCTGCACCATGAATTCTAAGAAATATTAGATCAACGAAAGACGATGATGAAATGCAATAATAAGTATGACAATAAGATGTTTGGGCCATCAACTTTTGAAACTCGAGGAAGAAAGTTTTAAGGATTTTCCCTTTTTTCTATGGCCGAAGGAAACTCATCGATATATATATTTTTTGAAGAAAAAAAATCACACGTTAATCCTATGCTTTAAATTATCTAAAAGCAGGAAAAACATTTTCTTGCTTACATTTTTATGTTATGGGCCCGAACGTCCAACGCTGAATTTCGCGTTGTTGCCAAATGCTTTATTATCACTTTCTCGGTTGAGAATGTAGAATATCTGCTACGTCTTGTACTAAATGACTTTAATAAAAAAAAGGAAGCTGCGAAGAAAAATGTGATTCTTCCAGGGGAAGTGCCACCACAGCCCCAGCCTGATGCACCACAGCCCCAGTCTGATGCACCACAGCCCCAGCCTGATGCACCACAGCCCCAGTCTGATGCACCACAGCCCCAGTCTGATGCACCACAGCCCCAGCCTGGGGAGGCTGCACTGGATGGCTTCTGCTGCTCCTGCTTTCTCCGCTCCTCTGGGTTCCTCGGGGATTGGCGGGAGAGGAGTGACCGGTTGCGTTGGGTTCATCAGAATTTCTTAGAGCTGAATTCCCTCACCTGACTTTTCTGCCAGATATCGAAGCCGATAACCTTGAGCCAGAGGAACGCGACTAGGTGCGAAGACCAACCCTGCAAGAGGAAGACGTGTTAATCACTCCCGTGATTTTTCCTGCTCTACGTGCATCGTCCGCGCTCGTCACCGTCGCACATCGATTAAGTGGTTGAAAATGATGTGAACTAATTTTTTTAGATTGAATTTTGATTTTCCTAGGTCCAATATCTTCTTTGTGCAAAAATTAAACATGATTTCGTTTTTCTTTTTAAAGAGTATGCTTTGGTGCCTTAAAAAAAATGTTGAAATGCAGATGATGTAAACGTGGTAGAGGGTATAGGAGATGCCCTAGACGAAGCAGAACTGCGCGATGGACTGGAAGATCGAAGCGACCAGAAGACAGCCGAGATGGAAGAGGCGGGCGCTCCTTCCATCTGGCGGGTGGAGGCAGAGTATGAAGGTGACGAGGGGGACAGACAGAGGGAGGAGAACGAAACTGAGGAGGAGGAGTATCTCCCGTAGCTTCGGCATCAGCTTGGAGCAGTAGGTAAGGATGACGGATTTCGACGTTTTGATGATGTTGCCGTTGGCGTCCACGCAGTACTTGGGGAGATCGACGGTCAGGCCGGGGAACGGGTTTTCTTCGGGGAGAATCGGCCTCCTGCCGTAAGTCGAAGAGATGTTCCCCATCGCCAGCACCGGATACAGCCGACATACCGGGAAGCCTCGGACCACGCGGGAGCCGACAGGTCAGGCACCCTCTCTCCAGGAGTGTTTGCGCTTCTTCTAAGGGGCAGGACTTCTCGACGAGAATCAGGTTCTCCTCGGTTTCCTCTATGCCTGGCTCAGACGGGCAGACCTCCATTAAGGTCATATCAGATTTCTCAGATGGAACCACTTCCGTCTCGCCAGGCAACGAGGGAGTTTCCCCAACCTCGTCGACCTCGAATCGAATGACTCGAGTGGCCGGACCACGTGCACCATCCAGACCAAGGAAGCACTCGTTCCCAAACGCCCTCCAGAGTGGCTTGGTGCGTGAAAGTTTTTTTCACTCGCCGTGGAAGTAACTGCGCTATAAAAGGCCGTGACTCCGCTCACTTCATTCATTCCCTTTCGAGCTCTTGAGGAGGTCGTATTTCGTTCAGGCTCGCTCTGCCTCCGCCGCAGGCACTAGGCACTGGCAATTTCTTGTTATTCCTTTCCGTTCTCTTGCTTTGTTTATCTTTTCTCTCGTCTACCTGCTGCTTCTCCTGAAAGCAAGAGAACAAACGGGGCAAAACAGCGGACGAAAACAATGCCTTGTATCTAGCTGCAAAAATATGTGGAGAAACACGGAGTATCATCATCCTCCCATCACCTTCAATGGAGTTCCAATAAATGAAATATAGGGGAATGGCTGTCGGCTTCTGGCCGAACAGATTTACAGAACAAAGCAATGAGCAGTAATCGAATGAGGTGTGACCTTCCTTATGGGGTGGTGTCTTACACGACGCTGTAGCGACAACACTGCGTGATGACCTGACAGGCATATTGTTAGGTTTATTTTCGGGGGGCTTACCCTAGACCCTCCCCCCTCTCCCCAAATAAGCTCAGGATATCCCTGTAAGTGTCACTGAACGGGTAGCCCATGGGTGGGGTCACATGCACAGTGGACTGTCAGGGGTGGATACAGAAATTTTTCATTGGGGGGCGGATCCCTAGTTCTTACACCCCCTCCCCACCTAACACCACGCTCCGTCCAATAGCCTTCTTTCAATTTTTGTCTGGGGTGAAAACTTGAATATCTGTTTCACTGGCCCCAATAATTATTAAATGACTAAATGCCTTAAGGTGTCCTAAAATTTAAAAAATAGAATTCATACTTAGCCGGGGGGGGGGGGGGGGGGGGGCCTACCTTGCACTGCCAATCGTTTTGCTGTTCCTCTGCGTTTCGATGTTGACTCTCCATCGCATTATTTGACTCTCCTAATGCACACCTCTGCGCCGGTAGGTGAGAGGCAACTATGTATAAGCTGACGTGAAACGCAGGGGGGGCAGTCCTACCTTGCATCCATCACCGCGTGGATATTGGTGTGAATAGAGGAGCGTTGCTCTATCAGTAGCAGTAGCTAGCACGATGCGACGCCGAGGTTTTTCTCGATCATCAGTAGTAAGGAGAGCGCGTAGTTAACTGGTTCCGTGAACAGGGCATTTTGCAAGATTGAGTTTTAAAAAATTTTTGGGACAATGCCTGAGCCAAGGCACCTCGTTGAG